AATTGATGTGTACATAATATTTGTGCTTGTTTAATTGATTGAAATGTAATAGTTGATTTGTTGATTTCAATCTGCATTATGTTGAATGTAAAACAGACTATCGCAACGCGGAAATGACTATCACAACGAGAGAATCGCAATGCGAAATGAAAATCGCAACTGATGTTGATTTCTATTTGTTTTGATATGAGTTACCGACCCAGGATTTTCAGCTTTAAATTATGACAATAAGCCGGCAGTTGGGCAAACGATGCTTCTGGCGACCCCCTCAACAATTCCAAGGCATAACATTTGGCTCTCCAAGCTTGAGAATATGAGATACTAATCTTGAACCGAGCATTCATGTCAGTCATAATTTCATGTCCACGATATACCCTACCATTCAAAAACATTAACTCAACCAGAAAACCACCCAACACCTTTTTGTTTGCCTATCTATGGTGAGGAAAAACTTGGGTTCTTGAACATGTATATTTATCAATAAAAGTCCTAACTTGAAACATTTCGCAATTTTTTATCCTCTTTGCAATCATACGCCACATACAGTTTTTGTCAATCATACACCTTGTTTCGAAACGATCTTTGCTTGATTTGTTAACTTTTAGTTGATAGTCATCTTCCACACATTTCGTATACAAAGCTATCTTCAAGTCTTCCTTTGTATCAAAACAATCATCTTTCTTGATACGAATAATTTTTGTGTAACAATCAACTGCTATCTTTACCAACTCTTCTTCTGGTATCTGAAGTAATTCTGGCATATTCCAGTTATACTCCCGTGGTATTTTCTTCGGGGACTTTTCTTTGGGGATTTCTTATTCTTCTTCTTTTTCTTCTTCAGTGTTATATGAATTACAGAATGGATGTTCAACATGTTCATTTACAATCATAACTTCCTCCTCATTATCATCAACAACATCTTCCTCGGCAACGGCTGTTTCATCATCAAAATTCGGGTATTGACCAATATCAAAATCATTACACGCATGGTCTGTTTCTTCTTCTGAAAAATCATCAAAATCCGAGTATTGACCAAGATCAAAGTCCGGGTATTGGTCAAGATCAAATTTCGAATACTGACTAGTACTCACAATTTTTTCTGTTGGCTCATCATCGTCTAACTGGTCAATACGAAAATTGGAATTTGGTGCTGAAAGTTGATTGGGATTTGGGATAGGGAAAGGTTGTGGGTTTTAAGATTGTGTTTGGTATTGGAAATGTGGTGAAACAATATTTGCTTGGTGATGAAATTGTGGTAGAACCATTAAAATTTGAGCACCATAAACTGGGGTTGAAAAACTTAGTTGATTACTACCCGCTACTGACCCAACTTCACTACTTCTAGGTTTAACAACATACAATGTAACATCACCACTTGAAACACTAATGCAAGCAATGAATCGTTCAACATCTTCATTGTCGGTTAACAAATAAACTTTACCATTTCTCTGATAAGATAGCCTAAATCCACTTAGGGGCTCTAAATTCAATTTATTTGCAACACGTAACATTAGAGTTTCATAAGTTAACTTTTTTAATGACAGTTTTAGTTGAAGATTCATGGGTAAAGGCATATATTGTAAAACACCATGAACATTCTCCCATGACCCTCTAAAACACAAATCTATCCAAACATGATCAATATTAGATGATTTCATTATTGTAAATTAATTTACTAAACAAACGAGCTGCGAAACTAAAACCTATTGCCGGATGGGGAATGATGTCGTTGGATATAGGAACGGATGTCGCCGGAGAGAGTGATAGATGGAGATGGAATGAGTTACGATTTAGGGATTTAGGTTATGAGTTGCTGCTGCTGCGTAGTTATATACCCAAAACATTTGTGTTGTGAAATTAAAACCTGTTGCGAATTTAGAAATCGAGTTACGAATTTGAAATTCAGTATTGCGATAGTCAGAATCTCGTTGCGATTTACAGATTCGCATTGCGATTTACGTATTCGCATTGCGATTTACGTAATCGCATTGCGATTTTCCAAATTCGCGTTGCGATTTACGTATTCGCATTGCGAATTAGGAAAATCGCAACGCGAATTTGGGAAATCGCAATGCGATAGTCAGAATCGCGTTGCGAATCTGGAAACTGATTTGCGATACCGGAGATCGCGTTGCGAATTATCGATCGCATTGCGATTTAGTTGGTCATTTTGGCAAATCCAAAAAAAAGTTGGTTAAAATCGTATATTATAAGGCATTTTTGGTCACTGAGGTTATTTTCTCTATGAATAATTAACTATTTAATAACTTTTAATTGTCAAAAAATTCAATAAAATAACATCTTATAGTCGAATATTATTGATGTATTTTACTTTAAGGGCCTGTTTGTTTCACTGAAAATGTTTTTCGTAAAATAAATTATATTTTCTAAAAAAACATTTTCTGGAAAACGTTTACGATGTTTGGAAGATATTTAAACTCTTTTTCGACTAGTTGATGAATTTTTTAAAAATTATTTATTACAAATATTAAATACAAAAAATAATATTATGTATCATAAAACTTAATATTATTATTTTTAAAATATTAAAATAATTTATTTATTATTACAATATTTTTTTATAATTTTATTAATAAAAATTAATATTGGTATATTTTATTGAAATAAAAATATTATAAATTATATTAATTATTTATTTTATATTATATTTTAAAAATATTAATTAGTATATTTTAAATAGCCTTATTAAAATATTATTAGATTATTATATTAATATTAAATATATAAATAATATTATTCATTATTAATAATTTAATAATATTATTTCTATGAAATTAATAAATAATAATAATTTATTATATTATTAAAATAAAAAAATAATATCTTATATTATTATAATATAATTGATTATTTTATTATAATATTAAAAATATAATATTATATTATTAGAAATATTAATAAATATATTTTTAATATTTTAATAATTAATATTTTGATTAAAATGATATTAAAATATTTTATTAATATTAAACTCATAAAATAAAATTATTTTGAGTATTTATTCAGTGAAAAGTCCGGAAAATGACTTACGAAAAATCAGACCGTAAGTCATTTTTCAAAAAAAAAACACAAAGGAAATTCTGTTGAACATGAAAATGTTTTACGTTAACCAACCAGTTTTATTCCAATCAAACACTGGAAAATGAAAAAAAAAATCCAGAAAATGTTTTACGTGAAACAAACGGACCCTAATATTGAGAATTTAACTTGATAAAAAAGAAAATATATCTCAAGGACAATTTTGTAAAATATGCATTTTCTTATCTTGTATTCCTTCAATCAAATACCATAATCTTACATTCTTATCAAACAAATCAAACTAGATAATACAACATTTCTAGTAATGTGTAAGTATTGTAATATTATGATAATCTCATTTTCAATGGCAATCTTACATTCCGTGAACAAAACGATCCCTTAGGGTGCGTTTGGTTCACGAAATGTAAGATTACCAGTGGGAATAAAAGATTACCAGAGAATAGGATTATTGGGAATGTTGTATTTTGTGTTTGGTTGGTTTAGCAGAAATGTAAGATTACCGTGTTTGGTTAAAGGAATAAAAGATTATTGGAATGTATATTTGACCAAATTGTCCTTATTATATATTTGTATAATATTACAAATTGTAAAATATTTATATATTTTCTTTAAAAAATTAAATTCATAATATTTATATAATTTTTTTTACAAAATTAAAAACATAAAAAAAGTTTAATGAAATGGTAAATTTTTTTAACCCCTAAACTTCATATAAAATTTTAATTATAGATTTTTTTTGTAAATCTAAAATAATTTAAGATAAATTTGTAATTTAACATTCGTAAAATTTTTATTATTCAATGACAGAAGAAGGATATTTTTGAAAAAAATAAAAATTTAAGGGCATTTTAGTCCAAAACGCCGGTAATGTTACATTACCTAAGGGAAGGGAGGTAATGACATTCCCGGTAATATACCCCAAAAAATCTACTATTGGTAATAAAACATTACCGGGAATGAGATTCTCGACCAACCAAACATGAGAATGTGGGATTCTCATCCCTTGAGAATCCCACAATCCTTGAACCAAACACCTTTCATAGAAAATATAATTTTCCATTATTTCTAATTTATATATATTTTTAATAAAATTTATACACAAATAACTTGATATATATTTTTTCTTGTTTTTATTTTTTTTAAATACAGAAACATAATTACACCAATACAATAATATGTTTATTTTTAGATATCAATATATTTGGATATGTAAATGCTTACGTAGCTGCAAGCAAGTGTTGTATGTTAAACTTTTTATTTTATTTATACTATATGTATGAGTTGTACAACAAAATATCATATCGAATTATTGATAAATTTAATAGAAAACAAAAACCTGAATGTTGGCAAAAGTTTACAAAACCAAGTCTTCAAAGGATAGGAGAGCGCAATAGTCAGATAGGAGACCCAGACTAGTGAACGGAAGAACCGAATGGGCGGCTTTGTTGATAATATGAGCAGAAGTGTCTCTAGAGGTGCCTTAAGGGAGTTTTTCAATCAACACGGCAAGGTTCTTAGAGTTTTTATTCATCAACTAACAATAAGCCAAGGTACAAGTTTTCTACGTTTTCTTTGTTAATTTTGCGAGCCAATCGGATTTGTTGAAAGCCATCAATATGGTTAATAAGATGAGGGTGGATGGAAGATTTGTAGAAGTATCTAGAGCTAACTTTTACACTATTTCAACTAGAATTCCTTTTTAATGATTTTTTTAATTTCATGCTGTAAAAAACATTATGATCTATTTATGAACATGTTTTTTAACATGTATATAAACATATATATATATATATATAGGCAATTTATAAAGACTAAAGTGCATATATAATACATTCATAAACTGCAAAAATAAAAAGAAAGCATAATATATTAATTTTAGAAAGCAAGACAAGGGAGAATGAACTTAATCTAGCTCAATTTTATTTCAAGTTTATCACCAATATTGTTTGCTTCCCATTTCATTTCCATAGTGTTTCTGAATTTCATATACACAACCAAAAGCAGATTTACAGGATAAAAATTTATAAAGCAGACAGGTTGAGAATGTTTATGCAGTAGAATAAAGGCTTTATCTTTGCTCTTTATCACTTCATATAGACTCTATCCACAGGAACCTACTACTTCACAATGCCGTCAATGCTAATATCGTTTGCACTTATAACTTTACGGGAAGAAGACAAGCCCAGATCAAATGGTCCCAAAGACTCCGTCTGCATCCACATTCCATTAAAGATTATAATAAATAAATAAAAATAATAAAATAAATTACAAATGGCATCATTCTATGTTACTCGTACACGGCTGTGAGTGTTGTATTACAAGTATGTGTTCAACACAAATGTTTTCAATTTTCATCCAAATACCTGTCTCCAGATGTATATTGAACACAGAGAATATGAATACCTAGAGAGAGAGAGTCTAGACAAAGAAACGAATAAAATACCCATTTAATATCTGAGAGCCCCAGACTGCTTTCACCGTTGTATACTCGCGAATCTCTGTCTGATTGTTGACAAGCCTGGACTTGTAATTGAATATTGGCCTGAGAAAATAAATTCTTGAAATGTATTGTGCATGTCATAACTCAATAACCAAACTTAAAAGTTTACATCCTAATTAAACAAATATAAGTGCTTCAAAGGGAACAAATATCTTAAAGACCAATTAATATAATTGATGGTAGCTTTAAACATAAAAAAGGCATGATGGTGTAATCTTTTCCATCAAAACTGTTTTACTGGTTGAAATCTCATGCCACGTAAAAATAACAAAAATGCGGAATTGCTCAATGTGATTGATTACTGCCAACAGCAATAGAAAACTTCAATTACTAGACCAAGTAACTTTTAGCAACAAAATAGAATAAAGAAGCTCGACGGCTATTCTACATGAAAATATGTAATACAGTTCTGGAATTGTGATAACGGAAGATGGAAATTATAATAAAAAATTAGCAAACCTCTGTTGGATGGTTTTTTTTGAATGACTTAGAACTGGTGTCCTGACTGCAGGCATGAGAATAAGCACTTCCACCAGAAGCTATAGCATTTTCACCCATTGAAGAAAATTTTTGAAACGGAAATGCATGGCACGTATCATCAGCATCTAAAATTGAGGAATGTGAGTCCTGAACTGGAAGTCTTGGATTTTTACAGGGGTTCATTTGACCACCAAGGAAAGCATCAAAGGAATCAGAGATTAATTGAGATGACCCTGAAGTGATCCCATTGGATTTTGGATCACAACTACCCAACCTCCCCTGCAATGATGCTTCTGACAGCAGGCCTCCTATGCTAATGTTATTTAGACTGTCTTCCCACATAGCCAATGATTGCCCAATGCTGCTATCCATTGTCACTTCATTTTCCTAACAGATGGAGAAAGAAAAAGCAGTTTCAGAAAGGAAAATAACTTGACATGAAACTTATTGCAATCTAGCACTCTTTTGGGCATAAAGGGTTTTAGTTTTGTGCCAAGAATCAGATAACAAAAATAATGTGATCCCAAAGCCTTATTTCATAAGCTAGTAAAATTTTCACCATCAGAATAAAGGGGTAAATATAATAGACAATATTCAAAGAACCATCTAATAATCTGCCATGCCTGTTTTTTTAGTAACTCGTGACCATATTAAATGCTTGATTGAGGTTACACGTTTGATTCAGGTTACTGCCAATGCAGTTTCACAAATAATTAACATAGAAAAGGCATTAATCTTTAGGCGAGGAATAAGCAGAAAACCGGTCATAGACACTGTACCGTAGAACAAACTCCTCCGTTAGACATCTTTTCAGCAACAGCTACATTTGTTTCTCCACTCATAAAGATTGGTTTTCCAGATTCTTCACTGGATACTTTAGCTTTTTCATCATTTCCATATATATTCTCCATGTAAGTGTTGCAACTTTTCTGTGCACCTTCAAGTTTTGAAGAGGCTTTGAAGGGAGTTGATATAGAAGGTTGTCCCAAGGTTTTTGTTTGAAAATCAGACACCCACCCATACCTTCAAAGCAGAAACCAGTTACAGTATATCAATATACTTTTAGGAGCCGCAACAAATAAGGAGTAAAATGAGAAACCAAAGAATAAAGATTAAGGTAATCAGGTATTGGACCTTAAACGAAACACAGATGGGCTTCCAATTGTTGCATAGACATCCCTTGCACTGATAAAAATGTCATTTCTTGTCCATCGGTAACTGGTTGGATTTTCTGCTACATATGGGAAAAGCATGGGCTCCCCAACAGCAATGTTTGAACTGCCCCATTTGCTATCAGTGTGCTTAAGCACAGAGGATATCTTCTTTCTAGCACTTAAAGTCAATTCCAAGTATGGATGAAACCCATCCTAGAGGAAAGAATAGTTAACCCTCAGTCTAGATAGATCTCATGTAAACAGTTAAAAGTGTTTTTCGGTTTAGGGTTTTACCTTTTCTAATCCTAGACGAGTGTTTTCATCTATTGGAAAGAGCTGCAGCTTAATCTTAGTGGAAGGATGAAGTCTTTCTTCTGTACTCAGGTCAAGTGCAGGTGGCGTTGTAAATTCCTCCACAGAATTGGTTTTTGTAGTTTTAGACCTCGAAGATACCGCTTCAACCAAACCAGAAGGTGACGGTTGCTCATCCTTTTCTTTTTTTCCTAAATTAAAAGATTAAAAACCCATAGTTAAAAGCACAATTCAGGCACACCAATTTATGAACGCATCAACATTTATACTTAAAAAGATAAATTTCTTAGCAAGGCAAGACAAGTAATAAAAAACAAGTCCAATGTCCTGCCTGTTGCTTCCTGAAGCTGCTGCTCCACAACTGTCTTTCTAGATTTATCAACTCCCTTACAACCTTCACGCGGATTAGTTTCTGAATGTGGTTCCAAGGCTTTTATCCTTCTCTTTCTATTAGTTCCCATGTGATAAAAGCCTTCCTATCAATCAAACCAATTGCAAACAACATTAAACTGAAAGCACTTTACCAAAAATAGCTGCCAACATCACACTTAAAAATGAAAAAAGAAAGCATCAAAATTCATCTGAAACTCCATTTCTTATGGGGAATGCTCCAGTAGCCTTCAATTAAAAATCAGTGCATAACATAACATTTTAATCTCTAAAAAGCAAAAGTTAAAAAAGGTGAATTCCAACCTTAAACCCAGAGTATTTAGTTTTAGATCTTTCAGTTTCATTGAAGCATTTAGAGTTTAGCATTTTAGAACTAGCAACAGAGGAAAGGGAGGCATATATATATATAGTCATGAATTGCAAGTTGAAGTAACTACAAAGCGGATTCAATTAAATTGCGAACGAGTCAAACCCTAATTCTCAAATTAAGGATACAATAGATGATATTAAAGCATTACGAACTTTAGCGATTAACTGCAAAGAAACAAGGTCCTAATTAAAGCATCAAAACTGAAAGTAAAAATCGCCAGAAAATTCTAAGTTACATAAGGATTGATCTTTAGTAACAGATGTTGAAATTTAAGGATACAGAATCACAAAAGAAGAAGAGAACATCTAGGGAACCAAAGTTGCAAATAAATTTTACTAAAATTCTTAATTCAATTAAAAAGAAAAAAAGAGAGCTTCTTGATCTACCTTAAGAGAATCAAAGCAGAGTAGAACAGAAAGAGAGAGAGAAATCTGAAAGTGATGAATAGTATTGGCGGGAATTTGAGGATCTTCGAAAGGAAAAAAACCCTCTAAAAACAGACTTCAAAATTGGAAGGCGAATGGCTTTACGTTTTTAGAAGGCTACAAAAGCCATATCAGCTACGGACGGGCCCTGAAGTTGAGGCCCATTCTTGGCCCAAAGGATATTGTAATAAATATAGGTCCCTTTATATAACCATTTGACGAAATAATAGCCATTATCCCTCCGCTATACATTACAATTGTCACTTGAGATTCTTTAATAACATCATTTGCCGAAACAAGTTTACAACACGTGCACAAATCAAACTATCTTAACAATCTTTTGAGATTTTAAGAGCAACATAGGTTGAGTATAAATATTTATTGTCAAATAGTTAAGGGTCTTTGAACATGTATTATTCTATGTTCATTTTAGTAGCGGATCCAGAAATATTTTTCAGGGTGGACACATATGTACTAATAGTAGAATTTTTTTGTATGAGATAAACATCAATAAAATTTTAGGGTGGACATCATCAGTAAAAATAAACAACAAACATAAAAGAAATTCGAATTTCAGAGTAGACACATGTACATCCTAAAATATACATACGTTTGTCATTGATCTATTCTAGAAAGTACAATGTCTTCAAGGAAGAATAAAGAATCATTCGGTATTGACATGTCCCGAAACAAGAGATAATATCAAAATTTTATTCTTAAATTTTAAAATTTTAGAAAACTTTCGATATTCTTTACTTTCTGTCAAAGAAATATTAAAATTTTATAGAAGAAATTCGGAATTCTTGTTCATAAAACTTTCAATTTTGATATTTTAAACCTAAAAATCAATACTAAATATAAAAATTTCAAAATTAAAGCCCAGAATCACTTCAAAATAACCTTAAATAAGGCTTCATCAATCTATCAAACAGATCTCGCAAGTATCTTAACTTATTGAAACATGCTCCAAATACTTTATAAACATTGTATTTACACCCAAGGTCATTGTTTTCACATAAAACATTTAAACACCATATCAAATAAAATATTACATTTATAAAAATCATGAAGTGTTCCTTTAAAAAAATTGAAGTACTTCAATGTTTAAAAAGAAAGTAATAAAGTATTTGGAAGTTTAAAGTCTACTCTCTTACAAGTTGAGCATAAAAAATCTCAACTTACACTTTAAATCACAATGCCCTTCTCTTTATCTCTTGAAGATCGTTGCTTCTTTTCTTTGGGTACCAAATCAAGTAAGGAAATTAAGTTTATAAACCATCTTGGAAGGCGTAGTACTGAAAAACAAATAGAAAAGATAATGAAGGAATGAAAAGCTTCTTCTTTTTTTCCAAACCCCCACTTTCTTTCCTTCACCATTTCTTAAAGAGCTTGGTTTGGTGACAAAAGCCGTATCTTGAATTAAAATCAATAGTGGAAAGAATTTTGAGAGATGACTCTTTGAATGCCAAAGTTCTCAAGGGGTAAAGGAGAAGTGGAGAAAGAAATGAAAAACAGGAGATGGCATGAGATTTTAAATGTGGTCAACACAATTTTCTCCAAAACTCTAACAAAATGATCAACTACACATTTAGTACTTAAACTATAAGTTTTAGTATGCTTTAGTGCTTAAATCTTTAATTTTTATTCAAAATCATATCTAACATTTAGTTTTCATTTCATTTTAATACTCCAACGTTAAAAACTTAATGCATTTAGCACCTAAATCAGTTTTGATCTGTTTTAGTACCAAAACTTAACGTTAAATTTTGAATGAGATATTAATATGAAATAAAAACTAAACTTTATATATGATTCTAAAAAAATTGGAAGTTTAGGTACTAAAATAGATCAAACTGATAATTTAGGTACTAAACGCATATTACCCAAAACAAAATGAATGTTTTTACCAAAACATAAATCTTGAACCAATGATTTTATTTGATCCTTCAATTCAGTTTCTCATAATTCAGATTAATCTACGAACATTCATTTTATATTTGAATTGTTGAAGATATATCAAATAATTAATAAAGGATAAATTTTTATTTTTATTTAAAATCCACTTACAAAAGAGTTAATTGCATCACATGTACTTCAATTATGACCATCATTCTAAATTAGTCCCTAAACTTTTAAGCATTCTAATTCTATCCCTAAATTATGACTATCATTCTAAATTGGTCCATAAACTTTTTGAACATTTCAATTTCATCCCACATTATACATATGTACTAATCACATTGCTTGTTAATAAAATCATTAGGCCAAGTAATATTGATATATGTTTGAAAAAAAAAATTAAGTTGAACTATGGTTGAACTAATTACATATTTGGAAGAATATTCTGGAGCTGCCATATGAGAGAAGCAAAAAAATGTCGCCATTAACAAGACCATATGTTATGATAGAAGACAAGTTGAATGTTCTGGAGTAACCAATCTTTTAAGTCCTGAGTAAAAAACGATGGAAGCGAGGCTGAATGGAGGATATGAGTTCGTAGTTGCTTGGTCTCGGCACAATCTCTCAGAACATGCAATATGGATTCAGGCTCATCACAAAAGGTATAGGATGTATCAAAAGAGGGTCGACATTGGAATCGCTCCGTGTTAGTCATAAGTCTGCCATGAAGAAGAGTCAATAGAAAAACCAAATGCGTTGAGGCGCTTGGGTGCTCCAAATATCCTTCCATAGGCTGCTGTGAGTTGACCAAAAGGGTGCAACAATGGCATTGTAAGTTGAGGCAGTTGTGAAGTGATGCTTTGAGCCCCACTTCCAGATACAAGTATCTTTTTCATTATTTTGAGAAGGAATAAGGCCAAGGACATGGGAGACAACATCTTGATCAAGCAATTGAGTAAGGATGATCGTGTTCCATTCTCCATATTCAGTTACAAGGTCAACGAGAGAGTAATTCAGGATTACCTTAATTGAAGGTCGAACGTGATTACGCAAAGGTACTAAGCTCAGAATCCATATGTAATCCCAAATTTGAATAAGGGAACCATTCCCTATTGACCATGCAACATTTTCGGTAAAGGTGGCCTAGATTTTTTAGAGACCGCGCCAGAGAGAGGAGAAAGTATTTCTTTCAAGAGATGAGGAAAAGAGGTCATGGATTTTGTATTTTTCACGGAGGAGTCGGATCCAAAAAGTTCTAGTTTGCTGGTTAGAGCATAACAGATTTTCATGATGATAACATGATTTTGCTCTCTTATGCGTCGAATTCTCAGTTCGCCACAATCAAAAGGTTGGCACAAAGTCTCCCAATTAATAAGAGAGAAAACATGTTGATGGTTTTAACCTCCCCAAATAAATTGGAGGATCAGTTGTTCAATGCGATCGCAGACACCTTTCGGCAACATAGACGTTTGCATAAAATAAATAGGGATAGAGGCAAATACCGATTTTACCAAGGTGATATGGCCAACAAAGAATAAAGACCGAATTTTCCATCCATGTAATAGTGTACCTATTTTTTCAACGATGAAGTAATAATCAGAGTTATGGACCCTGTCATGCTGGACCGGTACGCCTAAGTATTTGCCCAAGTTGTCGACTTGCTTAAAGCCAAGTCATTCACTAATAATATATTTCATCATTTAGGTCGTGTTGGGGGAGAAGAAGACCGTTGTTTTGGCTCTATTCATTTTATAGCCTGAATAATGTCCAAAACATGAAAGGCATGTGTTAATGACATCGACATTGTTGAGGTTAATACGAGCATAAAGTATCAAATCATCGGTGAAGAAAAGATGTGATTTTAGGGTTCCATATTTAATAAATTGAAATGACTCCAATTCTTTTTTATTGACGGAGTCAACAATGCAATGCCCTAGTCTGTCCATAGCAAGGACAAAGAGGTAGGGACAGTGGATCGACTTATCGAATGCCATGTTTAGGTATGAAAGACTCTGTAAGCTTGTCGTTCCATTGTACTTGAAACGAGAAAGTATAAATACAGTGCATGATAATACACGATAATTTCAGGGAAAACCCAACATCATGAAGAGAGTCACATATGAAGTCCCAACGAAGTATGTTGAAAGCTTTCTCCAAGTCGACTTTGATAGCCATCCAACTCTTTTTTCTTTTTAATTGATGAATCGAGTGTATTGCTTCCTGATCAATATGATATTCTTGGTGATGGAGCACCAAAAAATAAAGCTTGTTTGATTCGACGAGATAATTGTAGACATAATGGGCTTCAAGCGGTACACAATAATTTTTGTGAGTAGTTTATAGATTACGGTACAGAGGCTGATCGGGCGAAAGTGTAGGAAATATTCCAGATTATTCACATTCGGTATAAGCACGATAACAGTCTTGTTCAGCTCAGATTCAATGCTTCCACTTTGGAAAATGGCTTGGATGCGAGCTCTAATAGAGTTACCAACTATACTCCAATGTTTTTGAAAGAATTTTGCATGGAGTCTGCCATGGCCCGGGGCTTTGAGAGGGCCATTTCATTCAACGCTGATTTGATTTTCTCCATGGAAGGGATTTGATCCAATGAGGACCACAGAAAAATATTAATCTGGGGGAAGAATCTGTGGAAAGGGTAAGCATCAGTAGCCTGATAATCAAGAGAGAAAAGGTATCGAAAATGAAAGATGGGTTCAGCTTTGAGAGATTGTTGATCGCCGATCCAATCACCATCAACTTTAAGAGATAAAATACAATTTTGTTACTTACGGATCTTGGCTCTGCAGTGGAAGAAACTAGTGTTTCACCAAAGACAATCCAATCTACTCGCAAACGTTGACACCAGAGGAGCTCCTCTTTATCAAGCAAGGACTCCAGTCACTGAGAAGAGGTGATTCCAAAGTAAGTAGAGAAGGGGAGTAACAAGAATTCAATGCTTTCTGAACTCCCCGAAGACGAGCCATAACCATTCTTTTCTTTGAGCCAATAAAACCATAGATGAATTTGTTCCAACCATCTGCAGCCTTAGTGAAGTTTACAGTGGTCTCAGGAAGGCTTCAGGTATTTAACCAGTTATCTTGGACCATGCGAGAAAATTCTTCATGCAAGTGCCAGCTAAAGAAATATCA